GGGGGGGGGTAAAAGAGAGGGTGGCGCGCAGAGTAGGTCGCGCCGAGAGAAGCCGTCAAAATGTCGAGGCCCCTGCATCCAGCCGGCGGCACGACGAGCCGATGGTGGACGCGGAGGAGTGTCGCGCGACGTGCACCGGGCTGATCGCCGGTCATCGATCCACCGACATGCCGATGCGAGCGAGGAACGAGAGGGAAAGAGCGACGGCGGGGAGGGTGAGAGACGGGGGAGAGAAGAAGAGAGAGAGAGGTAGGGAGAAAGAACAGGGCGCGTGGGTGGAGGAAAGAGGCTATCTCTCTCTCTCTCTCTCTCGCTCGTTCGCGCGGCCGCCGATGCGCGCGTATCGGCCTCGGTGCGCACGGATCAGCGAACGATAATGGGAGAATATTTAATCAGCGGCGCTCGCTCGCTCGTTCGTTTAGCGACGCGCGATTAATCGCTCGCACACGCGATGAGACGCGCCGCGACATGCGTAATTGCTCCCGCCTAGAACGCGGGGTGTAGCGCGTTATGTACAAAAGCGCGATTCGCGATTTGAACAAGCGCAGACGAAGTCGGCGCGATCGGAGAGAAAGAGCGTCGTTCAGAACGAATCCCAATTTTCTTCCTCTCTCTCTTTCCCTCTCTCTCTCTCTCTCTCTCTCTGCCTCTCTCGCTTTCATTGCGACGCGGAACATCCGCGAACGGCCGGAAGACATACTAATCGAAGCACCTGGCCGCCTATAATGCGATATAGCTTCGCCTCTCTCAGCCCCGAGTTAATCCTCTTCGACGACGAGCGCGCGATCCTCCCGCGGAAGCCGCGGATCTACGCAACGACGCGAGTCCGACGATGCGCGAGCGGCCTGCGGACGCAAGGAGAGAGAGAGACGAATTATCGACTCGAGGCCGTAAGCTCCGACACGCGGAGCCGCGTCGATGCGGAGAGCGTTGCACGCGAAAGAGCCCCGCTCGCGGCGGCTGCTCGAAGCAGCCGTTGAAGAGGGCAATGACGACGACGATGGAAGAGGAGAATCCTGCTGCCTCTCTCTCGTCTCACCTTCTCCTCCTCCCCCCTGCCCCTCCTCCGGCCTTTCTTGTTCTCAGTGGCGGATCCCGAGCTCGAGGAACCCCAAGCGGGCTGCACCGTGACACCCTGAACTCTGCGTAAAGTTTAACAATGCTAATCATTCTAATTACGAAAGATACATTCAAGCCAGTTTCAGATGAAACTTGATGTTAATCGGTCGTTATTCAACCCTTCCCCTCACCCCTCTACTATTCGTCCCCCGTTCGTGAATTATGATTACGAAGCAGGCCTGAAAGAAAGAGAAAAGTCAACGCTCACAGACGCGCGCAAGACGTTCTGTGCGGTGTCTTTCGATGGTCGCAGCTCTCTGAGCGGCCGACTGTTTATCGGCAAATCCGCCACTGTTTCCTCCCCCCTCCCCACCCTCTTCCCGCGCTCTGACGCACGGAAGGGTGGGAAGGGCACCCTCCGTTCCTGCACCTCCCCCCTCCGTTTTCACGCCGCTTCGGCTCGTCGATGACGAAACGCACGTAAATTCGTCGCGGCGCCGCCGCCGCCACCGCCTCCGCCGCCTCCGCCACGGGGTGAAATCAGTGCGATCGGAGTGCACCGCGAGGGAAGGACGCGGGTCTCCCGTGTGCGGCCCGCCGTTCCCGCTTGCGGCACGCGCGCGCGCGCGTGCGTCCGCTCGCCCGCCCGCCTGCGCCTCGTTCGTTCGTTCTGTTCGTTCTCCTCTCTCCGCGCGCGAGTAACGGCGCGACGTGACAGACAGTGGGAAACAGACGGGTAAATAGGTCGTCGTGCGCGCCGCCGAGAGAGAGAGGGAGGGAGAGAGAGAGAGAGAGAGAGAGAGAGATGACGACGGGGGTGAGACGACGTTCGTGTCGGTAATCATGCAAAACGGTCGGTTGCGCGCGAAACTCGCCGGAAACCGAAGACCGGAAGTGCTCCGCTCGTTCACTTCGCGGCTAGCGGCGGTAGACGGCGCGAAATTCTCCGGTGATAGCGGCTAATAGATAGACAGACAGCAGCTGTGCTACTCCTCTCCTCGGGAGAGACAGATAAGTGGTGTGCACACCGCTCGTGGTCTGCGCGGGGAGACGCGAGAGAGCCGCCGGGCACCGTTCTTGATGTTCTCGAGATCGATTTAGATCCCGCGATTTCGCGCGAAGAGGGAAACGCGCCGGGCTAGAGCGAGGATAAGGAACATCGCGCGCGTGGAAATTAGACGGCTGAACCAGGATGTCCGAGATTGATTGATCGATGTGCCGTGGTACTAGACTAGGTCAAGTGACTAATTAACGCGAGCGAAATTAACAGACGTAAACGGGGGAAGAAAGAGAGAGAGAGAGAGAGAGAGAGAGATATCAAGATAGCCGTCGGAGGGTGACAATTTTACGTCCGACGATTTTACGTTCCTGTAGCCGCGTCGAGTCGTCCAACGAGGAAAAGAGAAAGAGAGAGAGGGAGAGAGAGAGAGAATCAATCGTCCACGAGAGAAATCTCGCGCGAATTGGCGAATTCGCCGGCTCGGCAGGATCAATCGGGAGGAAGAGCGGATTCGCGTGGTCGCACGAGGGAAAGTGTCAACAAAGAGAAGATAAGCCGCGCCAGCTCGCCGGAGAACAGCAGGTGTGCGAGAGGCGCAGGAGAAGCGCGGCTTCTGTTATCGATCTCGCCGCTGCAGCATGGCGCGGCCCGCTCGCACACGCCGGGCCGCGTCGGCCGCACGCGGACCCGCGGCGACTGGCTGTCGTCGTCGTCGGTGAGGGCGACCGGAGGTGATGACTCGCTGATTCCTCCGCGCGGAGAACGCGAAAACGTTGGGCCGACGATGAGAACGGCGACGAGGAGGACGGCGAGGATGACAATGACGATGAGAGTGACGAGGAAGAGGAGACCGACGAGGTCGGCGATGACGACGGCGGTGCGCGCGACCGCACCGCGAACGCTCGGTCTTCCCGACGGAATGAGACGGCAGGCCGATCGAACGCCCGCGAGTTGCACGGCCCTCCCACGTCCGGCGGCCTCGCAGTGAGGAAGACGAAGACGCGACGCGGGGGAGAGAACCCGGAAAAAAACGCGTCGCAGAGACGCCGCGAGAGAGCTGGTGCACTGCGCGCGCGGCCGGGCGGTGTTTACGTTCGCGAGAGCGCGAGACGTGGACCCGCGAAATCGGGAAATCGATCGGCTTTTCTCTCTCTCTCTCTCTCCCTCTTCCTCCCTCTCTCTCTCTCTCTCCCCGTCTCTTCCTCTCTTTCCAACCGCCTGTGGACGCGATTCGGATAGGGTCGCCGCGTTCATTTCCCGCGCGCGTCCGTCGACGGGCGTTCGGATTCGTTCAGGTGACACGCGCGCACCCGACGAGGAGGACTCTCTCGCTCTAAGAAGAGAGCGCGCGCGGCGGCGACTCACGACGACGACGACGACGACGAGGAGGATCCTCGCGCACGTGTGATCGGTGTTTACGTTCACGTGAGGAGGCGCGCGCGCGGTCGGTCGGTCAGTCGGGTCGATTTTCGCGGGTCGTGCGCGTCGTTGACAGAATTCGCGCGGCGCTCGGAGCGAGGAAGGATGCGTCTCGGCGCCGGAAGGGATATACGCGCGGACACGGGGATCTCGCGCGTGAGACGACCCGCTGCTGATCGAGTCTGATATCTCTCGCTCGCTCGCACCACCATGAGACGCGTCTCGACGGCGATCTCGGGGAAAACGTCGAAGGAAAATCGAAGCGACACGAGCGGAGGAGGAGAGGGTGCGGAAGGAGGTCCGTCAGGCGGGATATCGAAGTTCGGGACCGGTTCGAGGCAGATTCGAGTCCGGCAATTCGATGCGCGACGACGGGGGAGCGTAGCGTGAGAGAGAGAGAGAGAGAGAGAGTGAGAGAGTACGCGTCTCTCTCGCGCGTCTCCAGTAGAGCGGATCCCGCAGACTGATCGGTCGCGAGGCCGCAGCGCAGAGATGGACTGCTGCAATTACGTCGAGGCTTACTCGGCAGGTGGTCACTTTTACCAGCAGCAGCAGCAGCAGCAGCAGCAACAACAGTACTTCTGTTACGACAATGGTAACGCGGCGTACGCCGGCTACGATGCCGCGCCGATCTCCAACGCGATCGAGATCAACGCTCGATACAACGGGGCGATACCGGCCACCTATCCGACAGGTAGAGATCGTCGTGTATGATCCGGCTTGTGCGCCGATTCGCGGGCCGATCGGAGGCTCCGTCCAGTTTCGAGGCGTTTCAGATGTTGCGCGTCACGTGCGAGAATTGCGCAATTTCTGGATGATCGTTGTTTCGTCCTTAACTTTCGATACAGTTTTAAAATTTTGAAAAAAAGAAACATCGTTCTTCCGCGGATTTCCTCGGCTTCTGTCGCGAGGGTGCAGAAATTCGTTTAGAAAAATTCACGCGCGTTCGGTTGAAAACACTGCCGGATTAATTTTTCTCGTAAGAAAAGATGATAAGGAAAACTAAGAGAAAATTCGCGGGGAAATTCGGAAAAACCGTTTTTTTTTTCCAAACTTTAAAAGAAACCGTACCTTTTGTTACCTCGATGATTATTTAATTCGATTCGAATGGCACGCACGCTCGCATGCGCGTAGTAAAAAGTATAAATAAGTTCTGCCGAGAGAAGGTGTTCAATCGGACGATTAAATTGCCGCTTGAAATTCAGCGGAACACGCGGAGCGACGTGCGGAATGCCGATTATAAAATAATAATAATAATAATCCTTGCCTTCTCGCACGGGGAAAACAAGTCTTGCCAGAACAGCGGATGTTTGTCAATATAGTGACGGCGAAAAAAAATTTGCCCAGACGGCGAAAAATTTGTTTGGACGGCAGAAAAATTTGTCAAGATTATTAATTGCTGTTTGCCGGGTAATATATGAACAATGAATACCCTTGACAAATCTTTCTATCGTCCGAACAAATTTTCTCCCGCTGTCGCTATATCGACGAACACATTTGTCGTTCCATCAGAATTTGTCTCCTCCGTGGCGATTTACCGAGGGAAAGTTATCAGATTCGCGACGTCGCCGCGCGTCGACGCATCGATGATAAGTAAAAGTGCTCACGCACGTGTGTCACTTCGCAGATTACGTGTACAATCCGAAGGAAGCGAGGCTGCGGAAAGCGATGCGCGAACAGAGCCGCGAGCAGAGCCGCGAACGTTCGCGGCGTTCGATCCTGCAGAGCGCGATCGCGATCGCGAACGCCCGGACGGCCGCGATCGGCGGCCCACCCGCCGCCGTCACCGCATCGCTGGCTGGCGGCTTTCTGAACCAGCATCATCGCACCTTCGACTGCGTGCCAGCGGCGTCCGTCCCGATCGGCCCTCCTCATCGCGCGGCCGAGGCCTGGTTCGCGGCGCATCGCCCCAAGCCGGTCCATTCGCCGCGAATCGGCGATTGGTACGTGGACGGCGATCCCATTGAGAGGCTGCAGGCGATGGGCACGATGCACCAGCAACGCGGCCTCGACAAGACCTCGATCAAGGAGCAAAGGAGTCAGGAGTGCGCCACGGCGTTCTCCCCCAACGGCCACACGCCGACGGACTTCGCCGTTACCGAGAGGGAGATTCGCAGGCAGGAGTCCGCGGCGGAATACGCCGACTTCGTCGACGGCCAGAAGTGGCACCCTTATCAAGTAACAAAGCGCTCGATTCTCCCGATACCGGGGGGAACGTTATCGGGAAAACTTCGATCCCCCGGCACTTGGTTGTTTCTTTCATTCTCGCACGGGAAAAAATTAAATCTTAAATCGAGAATAGATGTTCTCATGTATAAGCAAAGATATCGTAATCTTCTTAGATTTTTAGTCTTGATTTAATTGAATTTATATTGCTATATTTCTTGGTATATTACTTCAATTCGAGACTAAAAACTTTCTAAGAAGATAATAATATTCTTGCTTATATATGAGAATGTCTTGATTTATAAGACGGTGATTTATAACGCTAATTTTTTTCCATGTGGTCGTAAATTATTTTACGACGCGGAAAATTTCGGCTAATTCGAAAATAATCCGTGAAATTATATATTTAAGGCTCCGGATTTTGTCGCTGTGATTGTCCTTGTTTAATGACGTTAGAAGTGAGAAAACGTAAAAACTTTTTGCGTTATGTTTTCAAGTGAAAAGATGTACCCACAAAATGACGAGATTTGTGATCGATTCAGTAGATTTGTAAAATTGGACGGACGCTTTTCTTTCACACGAACAATCAATAAGTGGTCGTAAAATTAACATTGACAAAATCATGAAAAAAGCGGTCGGAAAAGAAGGTTCCGTGTCAAATTAATTTTGCGACTATTTATTAATTGTTCGAGTAAAAGGAAAGGGTTTATCCAATTTTATAATTATGCCGAATCGATCACAAATGTTCGAACGCATATTTCATGGACGCATATATCTTTTTATTCGAATGTATAACCCAAAAAATCTCGGTATGCATTTTCTCGCTTCTGACATCATTAAACAAGGACAGTCTTAGCGACTACTCCTTAGCCTTAAGGCTTTTTCGTCACCGTGATCACCTTGATTAATGACGTCGGAAGCGAGAAAATGCACGCTCGAAATTCTTGCAAAATATGTCGAAACAAAGAGACATGCCCGTAAAATGGCATTTGTGATTGATCGAGCGGATATACGAAATATTCGAAATTTTTCTCTCGCTCTTTCTTTTCTGGACGTTCTTTCAGCCTCGCAGAAATCGGGGTTGCACACATTGACAGAGGATTATGTATTTTTTGAAATTTTTTATAACAAAGAAACTCATTGCTAATTTGAAAATGATTAATTGTAAAATGATATAGTTAAAGCTCTTCTGTCGCCGCGGTCATCTTGATTGACGACATCAAAAGCGAGAAAACGCACGTTCCAAATTCCCGCAAAATATGTTGAAAAACAAAGAGACACGTTCGTGAAACGTCACTTGTGATCGATTGAGCGGATACGCGAAATATCCGGAACTTTTCTCTCGCTCTTCCTTTCCTTTTCTGTTTCAACTCCGCGAAAATCGGCGATCGTATACGTTTCGCAGAGGATCGTGTGTTCATCGAAACGATGATGGATATCGCGTGTCGAGATTATTGCTGTGGAAACAATTGCTTAATCGGCGACTTTGCGAAAGTTCGCGCGGCAAAGGTTGGGACGGGCGCGATCTCTCACTTGGTTCTTGGCGCGCTTTGCGAAAGTCGCACGACCTTCTTGATTGCAGAATAGCGCGAGCCCTCATCCACATCCAAGGACGCCTCATCCGTCACCACAAATGGCCGGCATCCTTCAGCCGAATGTTCAGAACGCGCACGGGCACACACACGGTCCGTGGGGCCAATTTTGTCACGGTATGCTGCCGCGTAAGTCTTGTGTTGCGGTATTCGAGCGTTACCACACCGATCCCCGATCGGCATGATTTCGCTGAGACTCGACATTCGCGCTGCTAACTGCGCCTCAGCAAACGAGTCTCCGCGCATTTAAGGCTCCGGAGTAATCACTATCTTCCTTATTTAATGACGTCAGAAGCGGAAAAACGCACGTTGAAATTTTTTGCGTTATACTTTACAATCCAAAAAATGTATTCCTAAAATTACCTTTGTAATCGATTCAAAAAACTTGTAAAATTGGACGAACACTTTTCTTTTACTCGAACAATAAATAAGTGGTCATAAGATTAACATTGACAAAAATTATGAGAAAAGGAGGCTCCGTGTCGAATTAATTTTGCGACTATTTATTGATTATTCGAGTAAAAGGAAAGTGTTCGTCCAATTTTACGAGTGTGCTGAACCGATCGATCACAAATGTCATTTTGCTGATATATCTTCTTTATTTGAAAATATAATGTAAAAAATCGTGGCATACCTTTTCTCGCTTCTGACGTCATTAAACGGGATAATTTCTTAGGATGGAACACGGAGAAAAAAATTTGCTGCAACAGCAAATTGTTTGTTGATATAGTGACAGCAAAACAAAATTTGTTTGAGCAGCAGAAAGATTTGTTAGGAGTATTAATTGCTATTTGCTGGATACACGGACAGCAAAATAATTTATAGTGGGTTACGCGACTGCTGTCGCAACGACGTTTTGCTGCAACGGCAAAATTATTCTTTCCGTACAACAAATTTCTTTGTCCCCATATTAACAAATAATTTACTGTTCTTCGGCAAAACTTGGTTTCTCCGTGAAGAGTCGCTTTTCCACGGCCTGAGGCTTATCGGAGATATTTGAAAGAGGCCGTTTTTTTTCACGTTTTTCAGACGTTTCCGCAATGACTCGCAACGCGGCGATTCGGGGCCCGCGGCACGCCGTTTTCCTGCGGGATCGACCGGCGAGCAGGCACTGCGCATTCACGGAGGATGCGTCGCGGATGGGCTACGCTCCGAGCAAGTTGGACGTCGAGAGCATTCGCGCGTCATATCCGCCGGCGGAGCACCAGGTACTTAAATATATACAAATGACTAAACGCGAATCACATAAATTAGAGAGTGATGCGGAAAGATGCCGTCTTCCGTGATAATTCCGGGAAGTCGCACTGCCGTGCATTACGTCAATTTGACATTCTGAAGAAAAAAATTTAAGAATGTATATGCTTATTAATGCCGTATTTTCATTAGCGCGTCAAAAGGGAGCCATTCGTTATTTACCAAACGAAATTACATTCCTATACATTTATTTCACTACCTATGTAATAAATGTTAATTTAGAAGAAGTTGAGACATGAAGAATAGACATGTGTATACATAATATATTGTAAATGTAAAACTATTATTTTTTATTTTTCTTATTAGAGCTATATTTATGCATCAGTTGATCTGATAGAAATGCACAGATAGTAGAAAGAGATATATAAGTGTTTAAACATCTGCATATTTATATACATATATTTCCAGTATTATTATTAGTTATGAACTCGGTACAATATGAACTTGTATTTTTAAAACAAAGTGATGATTCTGAAATTTATGAATAATCTGTATAATCTGCATATTAGTCTTTAATATCATAGTAGTTCTTCATCAGATCTTATTTTTACTTTGGAAGATATTAAAAATGAAAATTAAAAATAGCATGCTAATCTCTCTCTCTTTCTCTCTCTCTCTCTCTCCAGGAACATGTATAAAAAGTGTCAATTTTAGTTACAAATATCTTAACTCTCGAACAATCGATCTTCTCCTAATTGCACGAGCGACGAGTTAGATAATATTTCAATGTACACGTAATTCAAGATTTATCAAATTTTTGTCAAACTCATTTCGCTTTATAGCCTCCTTTAAATTGAAATTTTTGATCCAGGCTCTGAATTACTGTCAAACTTTTGGTGTCGGTTTTAAATGCAGTGTAGATCAATTTGTAATTCTTTCATAATATTTTCTTTTTTTTCGACTTATAGGCGATATACATCCTTAATAAAGAATGATGCGATTCGCAGATGCCGAGGCTGTTAGAGTCAGCGGTGGATACCGTTATAGACTCGACGACGGCGATGAATCGCCGCGAGGAGGACGCCGGGACCAGATGGGAGCCGGGTACCGTCACCACTGAGATGTCTCTGGATGAACTCGTGCCAACTTCCATGGTAAGAGAACGCTCTCTTTCTCTCATTCTCGCGTACTTATTCTACCCGCATCACTGAAATATAATCCATATTGGAAGAGGCACTGGAGATAAAAAGGTGAAGCCGACAGAGGCCAACTTTGGGGCGCTCTTTCTTTCTCGTGCTCATATGCGTCGCTCTCTTTCGAAAGAGATAGATTTAGGCGTAGTATAAGTAAGAGATAAGTTACCGTAAACTTCTGTCTCAGCCACGTCTTCCATTCATAGGCGTTATATGGCAGTGTCTCTTCCAGTATATATTTATATTTCAGTGACCCGATTACCGTATCGCCACAATTTATCATATCGCGATACTTCACGATAATTCATCGACTTCAGCCGCAGGAAGGGGCGCTCGCTCGCGAGAAGGAGCGCCAGTCTTGGCAGACGAGCGAGCGTTTCGAGCCGAAGAAGAAGCCGGTCGCGAAGCAGCCGCTTCCGGGTTTTCACCAGGCCTTCGGCTCCACGGAGATCGGCAGGTTCTCCAGGTCGGAGTTCTTCGTGAACATGGTGGGCGAGAATGGCGGCGGCGGCGGCGGTAGCGGCGGCGCTAGTGGAGGCGACATCGGCGAGGCGGACAGCGGCGACGTAAGTAGGGAACGACTGCCGCTGTTGGACACGGCGGGAAACGCCGCGACGGCTGCCGAGCCGACCGCCGCGACCGCTTCCGCGTCTTCCACCACGGCGGCGACCGCGACGGCCACCGCAAACGCCGGAAGGACATTCGACCCCGAGGACCAGGCGACATTCGCCGTCGGCGACGGCGTCGTCGGCGCGTCGTACTGCAGACAGCCGGCGACGATGCCGCGATGGCACAGTCCACACGTAGGTGCTATAGGTAGCGAAATTTAAGCGAGTCCGTCTGCGCGCACGGAAAACTAATTAGTATCAATTAAAAACTTATATATTCATCTATAAATAAAACATATAATTTTATGTGAAGTACGAAATTTACTTATATGAAGAAATTTTGTGCAGTTCCGTTAACACGTTCATTGCCAAGCTGAAAATTGGAATTTCGTATTTAAACAATTTTTTTATTTAGTTTTTATTGTGCTCAAAATAAGTTAATATATTATTTATATGCTTTTATTATTATGTACATAGGATTTATGTACTTTAAATATCTATTACGCGATAACGCGTAATCGGCTGTTTTGTGGGAACTCGCATCACGCGATATCGCGTGTTTGGCAATGAAGTGTTAAGGATATCATATTGTTGTTATCGAGGAATAATTTTCGTGAGTTGAAGGGAAAAGATATTGGATATACGCAAAGAAAAAGGTTTCTTTAGATTTAGTATTTCCACTTATTTGACTTTGAAATATGTTTCATAGAAACATATGCCTGTACGAAATATTATTTGCTTGAGTAAAAGTTTTATTCTCATTCGAGAAAACTCTATTATTTAACAGAAAGAACGCTATTATTCGAAGTAATATCTTCCAACCAGATAAAATATTATTTGGTCACGATAAATATGTAATGAAACAAATAATTTCTTTATAAGAAAATTGTTTTCGTTTTGAACGAATTTATTTATTTAACATAAATATATATATTCGTGGAAAAGTCTAACAATTGTACTTATTGATCGAAACATTAGTTTCTTTGAAAGCATACCGATGATGAAATTTGTTAGAATGCGATAAAATTTATCAAATTTGAAAAAAACCTTTCTTCTAGTATAGAAAAAACGATATCTTCGAGCTAAGAATTACATCAGTTTGAAGATATCGTTCTTTCTATTCAATATTTTCAGAAGCTCTTCATATAGCAATTTATATCTTCATGTAAGATTATATATTCTCGCTTATATATGAAAATATGAGTCTGAAATTGACACCAATTTCTTTCCACGCGGTATCGTGCGCTTATCAAGCGAGAGACGCTTGCCGGTGTCAGTGTTTATTATTGAGAAAATTCCCCGTCTAAAACACTACCAACGGATGGTAGTATTCGCGGGAATAAATTCACGGGATTTTGTATTTCCGCAGCAATTTCGGGAGGGGTGAGCGAGTCGCGTCGATTTCTTTTCTTATCGTCGTGAGCGCAGGCTACGTTTTTCAGATTGATCGAGATACCGGCAAGTGCCGTCGACACGATACCGAAATACCGTTGCAGATCGACTCCCGTAGGGACTACGTCCTTGTCTTGTTTAGGCTAAAGCGGTCCCCCGTAGCTTTCCGACGCGTGATGGTTGCGACGAGGTTATACGGCGATACATCACTCTTCCGACAGAGAGAGTAGAGAGGAAGTCGCGATTGTGTGACGTAATCAACTTTTTTCTTTTTTTTATATGTAGGAGATTTCGGTATGTTAGCGAGCAATTACTCCGTACTCCGTGTTGCGTGTGTTAATGAGAAGTCCCCCCTCCCCCCCGTCGGAACCGACATAATTACGGTGAATTCGAAATTTCCACGTTCACGAGAACGTGATTTCGCGTCTACGTTCTACGGGCGACGTCGCGATTTAATCGTCGAGATGATAATCGAGCTCGTCGGAATTACGTCGGCTTCGATCCTCCCGAAACTCCCTCCGTGACCAAGTCTTCGTCAGAAGCACTCGCAGCGCGCCGCGCGTCGAGAAGGGAAGAAGCGGGGACTCGTGCGCGCGCGACTCATGCGTAACGAAGTGCGAGTGCGAATCGATTAGCGAAAGCTGTCGGGGATCGATGTTGGCGTACGAAACGTCCCGACAAACTGCGAATGTTCGTCGAGATTGTGCCTTCCAGAGGATCGGGGACGCGTCGGGGATTCTCGTCGGGTTCTCTCGCCTTATCGAGAAATCAAAGCAGCGCACGATACACCGCGTCTCGTATGCCAAAAGGAAGATATAATCAAAAGAGAAATCGTGCCGAGAGGGAGAAAGAGAGAGAGACGATCCACGATCGGCACCTTCCATCACTGTTGTTAGATATCGTCGCTGTTGTACACGCCGACGAGCGATTATACATATGTATACAGAGTGTTCCGAAAACATGTATGCACACTTTGAACACGATTATGAAGTCGGCGTTCATTGGCGTACGGTTCATTTTCAAACTTTAAAAGAATCTGCAGAAATGAATAATTTTTTTCTTTTAGTCAACGCTTGCTTTCAAACCGCGATGACCGTTTTGCTTCAGGTACTGCAGAAAACGCGAAGCAATGGAAGTGTATTTTTTCGGGACACCCTGTATAAATATATATATATATGTATACATATATATTATACTCGTGTGTGAAACAGAGGAGAACGAATATGCGCGACGAAAAGAACGAGTTATTTAGTAGAATCCTTAGGTGAGTACGTATTGACGCACGGAGAAGCGATGAAATAAAAGTTAACGCTGCGAGCGTAGGGAGCCGAGAAGCCGACCGGTTGAACGCTCTTCCGCTTCCGGGAAACAAATTGCGAAGGGGGATGCACGGTAGTACATGTTAAGAATCTGCGTCTGAACGTCTCTCGCAGCAACTTCTCGCGTTACCTTGGACTTTGTGATACTTTCGCCGCACTCACGAAATGGCCGATCGAATTTTCTCAAACGGCGTACATTGTTTGTCAGTCAGGACGATATTTCACGTGATATTTTTACGTGTCACACGTTTTATCGCATTTACATGCCGCATTTAGGTGTCAGCTGATTCATTCATATTTGACTTCTCGCTTCGCGATACGTCAGCCTCGAGCGGAAGTCCATTTCGCGCTTTTCATCAGCCCGCGCTGACTGACGTCTAACGATTCTAATGAAGTATATTTGCGCGACGTTTTGCAGGTTCTTAACACGTGCTTGTATATCTATCTGCTTGCGTCTAGTCGATCGACCAGTTAATTCGAGATAAATTCGTGTACCGGACATCCTGTACCTATAATGGGACCAAATTAAAGGGGGAGAAAAAAAGCTTTTATGTCGCGTTCACCGTCGCGCTCTTACGTCCTACGTATGGTCGCGTAAAAAAGAAAAGAAAAAAAGAAAAGAGAAGAGAGAAAACTTCCCTCATTCTGTTCGTGCGATCGCTCGGCGAGTGAAAACAAAATGCCGCGCACCTCCGCCCCGAAACACGTGGAACACATTCTACGGCAGTGTTTGCCTTAGATGATTTCAGATTCATCTAGATGAAAACGAGATGAAAACCCGAGAAATTCATCTTAGATGAGATTATTTTGCCTTTAATTTATCTAGATGAAAAATAAGTAGCGTTACTTATCTGGATAATGTTTTAGATGATATTAATTTCGTGAGAGACTTTATAATAATTTATAATGAAAATTATGCCAATTATAAAATTGCACAACGGTTAAGTAATTCGTCAACGTAATCGCCCCAAATTTAAAGATCTAACAAAAAGACTAATCATTGATTGCTCACTAATCGCTGTGTTTTCTGAATGCAATCATTATTTCAGTCTTCTTTTATAAAGCCCATATCAGACTATTGACTGTGAAGGATTGTGATTGATTGAAACATATGGTCTGTTATTTTTAGTTGCACTGCTGAACTGGTGCAGCTAAAAAGAACAGACCAAAGCAAACAAAACCGAAATGTGTCGATTCGTTGAAATCTAATTTGCAATCCCTAGTCTAATACGAACTTAATGTATAGGTCCGTATTATTTCATTCGTTTTATCGAAAAGTGAGTTTAGAATATAGACCATAGCATCATTTCAAATAATTTTTAGATGAGATAACACGTCATCTTTTATCTAAGATGAAGATCGATAGATTTTGTATTTCTTTCATCTAGATAAAGATAATGTAATCTATTTGTTCATCTGGATGATGATATAGATAATTTTATCTAGATACCGGCAGACACTGTTCTACGGGGTTAGCGCGCGCGTGTGTGACATGAAAGTATATTAATATAATTCGAGAGATATATTCCAATTCTCTCATGCGACGGAACCGAACGTAAGCCACCACGCCTTAACGAAACGTACTCAGCCGTCGAGTCGAGGAGCCGTGCATGAATATCATATAGTGGGAAAACAAATAAATCAATTATACCCGTAGAAGACAGGGAAGGAAGGAGAGAAAGCTCGTGGTAACCGAAACGCTTAAGTATCGATAGAGTATGCGATGAATGTCGTCGACGAAGAGATCTTCTTCCTCTTCTGGGCGTCGATATATCGCGCACTTGCCGGGTGACGCAAGTCAAAAAGAAGGGTGCGAAGTATTGTTCAATTAATCCGAAGAACTCGTAAATGTACTCGTGCGATATACAATATCATAAGCAACGGTAGCTAAAGGAGATAAATCAAACCGACCTACGACAGACCTACAATGTTTTAAACCTGAAAACGGTACCGCAAATGCTCATCGTGTTACCCCCGACGTCGCGCTGAAATCACGCGTCGATCGAGACGAGAAACAAGGGGGAACGAACCCGGCATTTGCGGCACGATTTTCCCCGCAGTACACGAGATACGGACGCAAAATTCGTCGTTGCAAAAATGTATACTTTACTCTCATTCGATTGGAACGATCGCGAGCAGTATGATAAGAATAAACCGGATGTCTGTACGACAGTAAAAAGAAAAAAAAAATGAAAAAAAAAACAATAAGAAGGAAGAGAAAAATAGCCCGAAGAAGGCGATCTGTCTTCAGTGAATTCTTGATTTTCCCTAGCTTGTCCCGGAAGCCTATCTGACGACTCCCCTGCTGTTTCCCTTCCCGGTCCACAACCCCATCCTGGGAGCTAGTGCCGTGCACGGGATCATCGCGAAGGACGGACGGCTGGTGTCGCACATTTTGCCCAAGGAGTGCTGCTGCTACGCGCAAACCGGCCACGCGATCACTCGAATCCCCGACGGTCTGGTGGTAAGAGCTCGGTTCGATTTCGACAGTTGCGTTTCAATTTGGAAGCTCACAGGTCGAGACGAGGAGTCTGGCATACTTCGATAATCGTTAATTCCGCGATGTTATTTGAGACACGTTCCTTTGAGGCTTTCGATTGATAC